AAGTTAAATCTCAACCAACATTTGATCTACAATCCTCAATTAGTTGAAACTCTAAAGAGAGAAGCAAGTCACTATATCGCCAAAGAGAAATCCTCAATGAGATATTTAAGAACTTATCAAAAAGGATATGTAGTGTAAAATTTACTAATTGCAACAAAAGCTCGTTGATTTTGAAATGTGGCAACATGGGGAAGTCACCTACAATAACAATGTTGACCACCCTCATAGATGTGATGACGAAAACCCTTTTAACCAAGAAGCCTCGAGTGACGAAAAGTTGGTGTTGCATCGTTTAACATCAAATATAAGAGAGGGTGATTTTGGATTTAATATTTATTTGTTGGGTTTTAATGCTTGTATGGATCTGGATAAGTTCATTGAGTGAGCTTCTGACAGTGGAACATATCTTTGCTTGACATAATGATAAATTAGTCACTATTAAATTAAATATGGCGCTTGTCTGTGGTGGGAAAATTTGAAGTACCTACATTAGTGTGAGGGAAAACAAATCATCATGACCTAATTCAAGGTGAAGAGGGAGATGTAGCGCAAATAATGTGAGCACTTTATAGAAATATGTATTTTTAAGACTTCATCATTTGCGACAGAAAGATTTGTTAATAGAAGAATACACTATTGAGTTTTAGTAGCTTATGCCGAAATATGAACTAGTGGAACCTTATGAGAACACCGTAGTTCGGTATCTTGGAGGGTTGAGACTGTTCATTGGCTAATGATGCAATTACGACCATATTGGATGTTATAGAAAGTTCAAACCTCATTCTTGGAGGTAAATAGACCACATTCTAGTATCAGGTCCGCCACCCTTCAAATAGGGATCAACCATTGGGTCCGACAACAATAGCGCACTGATCAGAGTACCCAAAGCTACTTGTCGTGAGGAGAAGCCATTACACTAGGAAAAGAGGATTGATTGGACCAATGACCCCAAAAAATTTCAAGCAAGTAAGTCTTTGATACAAACACATTGCATTCAACTGCTCAAACAAGAGATTTTTTTTTTTATTGAGTAGAGTTTTGTGGATGAGGCAGAGTGCAGACCAATGGGAGGAGATAGGAGAGGAGTTCTAGTACTCACAGATGATGGTGAGTGCCTTTGGTTCAATGGGTTATTTAGAACGAGCCCAAAAAATCAAAACTGGCTTAGACATTATTTCGATTGATATTCTAGGAAATGAAATGTGTCCGGTTTCATTATAGACAGGGGCAGTTGTGACAATGTAGTATCTACATAAATGATCGACAAATTGAGCTTCACTATTCAAAAGTTTTCTTATTCATATTCTTTAACTTGGTTGAAGAACGGAATGAGATCAATGCCGATAAGAGCTGTTTTGTAAATTTTTAATTGGAGAGAAATTATAGGATTATGTATTGTTTGATGTTGTGTTAATGAATATGATATTCATTTCGATTGATATTGACAGTTTGAGAGGGGCGCGCTTCATGATGGTTATAAAAAACATCTTGTTCATCAAGGACGGTAAATATATTGTATTTCCTCCATTGAAGTAGTCGACAATGATAAGTACACAAACATAGACATAAGTTATAATATCTCATATTAGTTTTCCGTAGGCTATGAGAGAGGTGCTTGTGAGACTATCCTTGGTGATACTAGAAGACGATGTTATGGAGGTGCTAATATGTGAGACAGTGCAACCTTATTGAAGGAGTATTAGGATGTTCTGAGAACCCATCACCTAGAGTGCCACATTTACAATAGATTTAGCATGCTATAGATCTCATTTCAGGATCAGTGCCCACCAATTGACCAGCTAACAAGATGTGGACAATCAAGTACAAGTTGAAGGAGCAGGTTGGCTTGAGGATTGGTCCGTGAGAGTACTAGCCTATGCACAGTTCCAGGTTTGAATGTAGCAAAAAAGGATGATTCTTGGCACATGTGCATGATAACAGTGTTGTGAACAAAATCACCATCAAATATTGATTTCCTATTCTTGGATTGAAAGATTTGCTTGATTAATTACATGGAGTTAGTTTCTTCACCAATGCCTTGAGTACCTTTATAAGGCTAATTCACTATATCTTTCGACCCTTTATTGGAAAATTTGTGGTTGTATATTTTGACGACATTCTGGTATACAACTGTTCAGAGTAAAATTTACAACATTTGCCATCGGTGTTTGAAGTTCTTGGACAAAGCAACTATATGGTCGCATGCAAAAGTACCACTTTCTTACACTGTAGATGTGCTTCCTAGGTTACATTCTTTCAGCTGCCAATATTCTGATGGACCCAGTGAAGATCCAGGCTATTTTGTTCTGGCCTAAACCCCAGTTATTTACTCATGTATGCTAGTTTCGTGAACTTTTTCTACATGATATTTGCCAAGAATTTCAGCTCGATCGTGTCGCCCTTGATCAAACTTCTCAAGTCAAATAAATTTGCTTTGTCTGATTTTAACTAAGTGTTTGGGGTGGAGTGTATTGCCTCCAATGTAAGAATCGGAGCTCTGGTGAGTCAATGAAAACATTCTATTGCTATTTTCAGTGAAAATTTAAATGATTCTAACTGAAAGTACTTTTTTTATACAATGAGTTTTATGTCATTGTGAGTTCTTGATCAATGATGTTCTTATTTGCTAGTTAGCAATCTTACTCTCAATACTAATTATAAGGACCTGAGATTCTTGAACAATTAGTGTAAGTTAAAAGACAGACATGCCTTGTGGGTGAAATTTCTCTTTGTTTCATTTTGTGCTCAAGAGCAAGGCAAAGAGTTATAACAAAGTAGTAGATGCATTGAACCTTCACCACTTATTGATTGCTACCAAGCAGTTAAGGGAGTTAATTTTGAAGTGCTGAATGATTTTGTATGCCAGTAATGAGGATTTTTAGGAGATTTGGGTTTGTTGTTATGACAAATTGCATGAATAATGTTACTGATCTGATGGATATCTGTTCAAAACAAACTGTATTTCTCTTAATGCACAAAGAGTATTTTCTAAGAGCCATAATGAGTAGGATGATATGATATTTTGACAGAGACAAGACTCTTTCTTTACTAAATAATAAAATTTATTGGCCCAAATTGGTTTGAGATATGAAGAGATATCCTGACAATACACGATGTGTTATTTGACCAAATTTAGAGAACATAATACATACCTATACACTTTCCATTTGGTTTCCTAGATACCATATTTGGATGCGAGTGTGTATTTTGTGGTGTGCTTGTTCCGAATGCAGTGGTGTCAGGATTCTGTTTTGGTAGTAGTAGACTGCTTCTCCAAGTAAATATATTTTGTTCTTTGCCCTTACATGATGGACACAACACACATTACAGACCTATATTTTAGAGAAATAGTATTTCTTCATGGTATACCTATCCCCATCACTTTAGACTTGAACTCAAAATTTCTCAATCATTTTTGGAGGACTTTATGAGATAAGTTAGGTACAAAATTATAGTGCAATTTAACAACATGCCCACAGATAAATAGACAGATGGAAATTGTGAATCATAGTTTGGAATACCTCATCATATGCTCTACAGGTAAGAATATCAGGAACTAGGATATTATCCTTTCTGAAGTTGAGTTTGCTTTAAATTCGTCTGCTAGTCAATCAACATGTCACAACTTATTTAAAATTGAGTACAAGCGAAATCATCTCACTTTTTTTGAGTTATTGTAATACTATCATCTATTGAGTTTAACATAAATTTAGAGGTTAGAGTAAGGGAGACATTCATTTTACATGAGCAGTTGATGCAGGAAATTGCCAAACAAATACATAGTATTAGAAGCAGACTAAGAAATCCACAAAAATTATGATTTTTAATGAAGGCAATATGGTGTGCATCTGATAGAAAAAAGAGGTCTTCTGTAGGGTTTTCTTTAAAAATCAAGCCTAGAGCTGATGGCCTATTTAGAATCACTAATAAGAATAATAATAATGCGTACAAGATTGATTTGTCAGGAAACTACAATATTTTTACTATTTTTAATGTTGCACATTTGTCGCCGGACTATGAGGATCCAAAAATTTATAGAGAAGAAGACGAAGCCTCTCCTATTTGGGGAGAGTGATGCAGGAGCTTTATGGCATTAGCGGAACCGGTGCGTGCGTGGTTCTTTGTTCTCAAGTGCATGTTTAGCATGAAAAATCCCTCCCAATCTCTTGATTCAGGATTATTTTTGCCCAAAGGGATGGGAAATTCTTCTGGGCTATATTATTATATATATATTTTTGAATTAGGTTTAGGTTAATTTTACTTGGGACTATTTATATATTGCTATATACTGGTTTTGGCACTTTATCTTTGGTTTATGAAGATTAATCTCTCTGTTTTCTTCTATTTGGAGAGCTGTAGCCTATTTTTCTTCAAGTGATGAATTTATTCCTTGAAGAGAATAAGTGTTGGATTCTCTGTCATTTGTAACTTATTATTTTGCTATTCACATCGCTGTTTTTAGATCAGACAGCCGCCAAACTGCTTCAACCTCCTTCCAAACTCCACAAATTTCGCTATTCTATTCCTCTCACCATTTTAGAACTCTAATTATTGAATTCAATCTTTAAACGCCTTTTAGAAACCCTATAATGGTATCACTCTGTTCCATGCTTGATTTTCTTTTTGCTGTAAATTACTTGCTCCTACACTCGGAAATTTACAGAAAACATTTGCTTTCTTTTACTTGTTTTCCTAAATTGTTGGAATCGTTCTTTATTTAGCTTAGAATAACTGCCCTGCAGAAAATTCAACACAACAGTTGAATGACTATTAATATTTTTGGCCATTGTACGGTGTTCTAATTGCTGTGTGCTTCATCGCATGACAAGTGCACTATGATTGTTGTCTTCTTTTAGTTTATAGTCAGTCATGATATGATTTTTGTGGGTTTTTATTATACGATTATTGATGCTCATGTGTTTTGTGTCTATTGCTTTTCGTTGCACAAAATCCCATATTTTACATATGCGTGGTTTTTTTAATCTAAGAAGCTGATGTAGGTACGTAATGGGCATTGGTGAAGCAGAGGCATTTTCTGAAAGGTTGAAACGTGAACTTCATGCTTTGGAAGCGGCAAATGTACATTCTCTCCTAGAAAGTGAACCCTTAATACAACAGGTATCTTTGTTAACTACTAGAGCTTTTATTTTCTGCTTTGAACCCTTGATTCAATAATTATGAACTTGAACCTGTTTTAGACTTTTTTGTTGCACTGTAATGCTGTTGATGCTGTCTATGACTCACAATCTCTTCAAACTCTAATGCATGTGCATGTCTCTGTTCATTCTTCTTTAGACAATAATGCATGTGCGTGTCTCTGATCATTCTTCTTTCGACAATATCAACGACACCCTCATTATGTTTTTTTTTTTTTGAAGTATTAATTTATTTGTATTTAGGTTTATTAGTTGGATTTGAAGTATTAATTTATTTGTATTTTAGGTTTATTAGTTGGATTTTATATCTGGCTTCCATTTGTTGAGCTACGCAGGTCTTACTGGGGCTAGAGGCAATTACTGTCTCAGTGGAAGACATGGACGAATGGCTTCGCATTTTTAATGTGAAACTCAGACACATGAGGGAGGATATTGAATCTGTATGGAAATGCATATTTCTTATATAAATTGCAATCAGTTTCTTCCATGCAATACTTTTGAGCTTTCTGAGATTCATGTAGAATTAGTATATGAAATCTGTTTGTTATTTTGTATTGAGTAAACTTAGCTGTGCTCCTTATAGTATATGCTGTTATTCAAAGAAACTTATATTTGGTCTCTTTATTATTTTGATTGTAGAAGTGTAAGTTATTTGTATTTGCTCGAACACTTCATGTTGCAAGTTCCCGAACTTATCTACACATCCCCTAGGATAATGCTTGAGAAGAAAGAGGGGGAGGGGGGTGATGGGCATGCTTTTTAATTTCACATTGATTACATCAGGGCCTTTTTATATCAGCAGCTGTTGTTTTAAAAACATTTCTGATTTCTGATGGATAAACCTTCTGCAGCAGAAATCATTTATGACCATATCTTTGAACAATAATTTATTCACTGGAATTATGAATGGACTACAGAGACCAACCTTTCAAAATTTTTATGGTTACTATTTTCATTTTAATGGATACTTAATGAATATATATTACATATCATTTGCATTTTTTGTATGTTTCATCCATCTATCTCTAACCTACGCAAAAAGTGTTCTGTTGCTCTAGTTCTTTATTTTCATTTATGATAAAAAACTGTGCCAGTATGCACTGTGCGTTGGTGGAAACCAGATTTGCTTTCAGGTCTAAGAAAATAATCTTTTTTTTATAAATATTCAGTCAAAGAACAACAAGAAGATTAAAATCTCTGTTCATATGCAAAGCACATACTCTCTTGATTCGCTTGTAACAAATTAGAAATTTAGTTCATTGTTATAATGCTGGGTTTGATTTTTCTGAACATGAAAAATTAAAAGTAAAATCTCTGAAAATGCTAGATAAGTTTTGGATAATTATTTATGGTAATTATTGATCAAAATTTGCTAAATTGAAAGAAATTTGTTTGCCATGTATCACCAGTTGTTATAGGTGACGGCTTGAGTTGTGATTGACGAAGTTGCCAAAAGGTGACTGGCAAGCTTCAAGAGTGGTAGCTATTTGCTGGTCATCTTTGTCCCTTGGAGATCTTCAGCCTGACAAAGGCAACGATTGTACATTGGCAGGTAGTTGGTAAGAAGACAGTTAAGATGGTCGTTGGTGAAATATGAAGAACTTTGTTGGGTCTTTGTTTTTGAGGCAACAATGAAGACTTTCTTAAAAAGCTATGAGTGATGCAACCAGCGAAGGTGATCTTTAGGAGATTCAACCAGAAGCGAGATAGGTTAGAGGTTTTATGAAGTGATCGAAAGATTACTCAGTGCTCATTGGCAGGAAGTTGGTAAGAAGACACTTATGATGGTCATTGGTGAGGTCTTGAAGATCTCTGTTGGGTCTTTGTTTTTGGGGCTACAAAGAAAATTTTCTTAAAAAGCTATAAGTGATGCGACCAATGAAGGTGATCTTAGGATAGGTTAGAAATTTCCTAAAGTGGTCAAAAGATTACCCAATGGCCAACAATTGATGTTTGGGTGGTTGAGATTTTGCGGCTAATTTTCATGTATGTGTGTGTGCACGCGCGTGTGTGCATGTATAGATACAAACACACAGGTATACATCTACACATCTACATGTACACTTATGTGTATAGATACACATACACATACACATATATGTGTATAGATTTTTTTTTTTTTTTTTTTTTTTTTTTTTTTTTTTTTTTTTTGGGAAAGAGCATCGGTGGCTCCCTACGCGTTAATAATTAAAATAAGGTACAATGTTTGGGGGGGAGGGTCCCCATCTAGAAAACACAAAAAGAAATACATTAGACTCACCCCTAGGGGTCCCTCTTCCCCAAGTACAACTCACACAAAAATAGCTTCCAAAATACAAGTATACCCAGAAAACAAGAAAAAAGAGCCAAAATAAAAAGGTAGTCCTGTGTGCTTTTATATCATGGAAGTATTTGAAGGAAGACAAAAAAGAAAAGGTCATGAACAGGAGGCGTCCTCTATGCCGCGTTCAAGAGCAAGGTCTCCATCCCAGCCTTTGTCTTCGAAAAAGAGATCCCCCTGCAAAACATTGCAAAACCAGCCAAGCCAACCAACAAACCAAAAAATGAGAGAAAACAACAAAGTCCAGCCAAACCGAAAATATAGCCCATAAAACTTAGAAACGAATGTAGGGGAGATTTAAAGTATCTCCAATGATGAGTCTCCGAAGATGGGCAGTGGGATGTGTGCCAACGTGACAAGTCTCCCCTGCATTTTTAGCAAGCCAATCCGTAGGGATATGTGTATAGATATATATATATGCACATATATGTGTTTATATATATGTTTATGTACATATATTTATATATAAGACTTATATAGGATATATATATATATATATATATATATATGATTGGCTCGGGTGCTCTGCTAGGGTTTGGCTACGAAGGCGATCATGCGGCGATTCAAGGATGCTGACGGCGTGGTCTTTCTCCGGTGAGATCTTTCCTTTCGTTTGGTTTTGGCTTCTCCTACGCTCCTGGTTTCTTTTCTCGTCTCTTCGTTCTCTTGCCAGTTATGGCGAAGACGTATGCTGGAGTCACTGCGGGGGTTTCCTCCTCCGGTTCTCCTCCGAAGTTTGTTTTTCCCTCTTCTTTCCATGATTCACTTGTTCTTGGTGGGGAATACAACTTTATTAAGTCCCAGGGTCGTTTGGGGGGGGGTGGTAAATTTCTTTATGGGCTTCCGAAATATGATTTCTTGTTGAAGCATTTTGAGCTTTTGAAGTTATCGGGGGGGTCTTTCGGGGGGGTTGGAAGATCGGTGCTCTTGACAGCAGACACATTCTGATCCAACTCTCAAATGAGGACGATTATGCCAAACTTTTTGCACGTAGAACTGTTCATTTTGGTGATGTTTGGATGAAAGTCCTTAAATGAATTACTGAGTTTGATCCTAAGATCGAGCTACCTATTATTCCCGTCTGGCTTAGACTTCCGGTTTTAAAGGTGCATTTATTCAATCACGAAATTTTGTTTTCTATAGCTGCAATGTATGGTAAGCCATTAATGCTTGATGCCCCTACCTTTAATTTAACAAGACTCTCAATGGCTAGAATATTAATAGAACGTGATGTTACCTACCACCTCCGGAGGAGGTTTGGATTGGATCTAATCATACGGGTTATTGGCAGCCGGTGTTTCTTGAGAAACATCCTCACTACTGTTCGCACTGTAGCATGTTTGGTCATGATCCGGAACACTTTTCATTTGCACCCTGAATTGCTGAAATCCTCTGCTGGTCGTGTGGCCTTTGTCAAGCAGAATTCTGCTCTTCGAACTAATAATTTTGAACCGGTTGCTCAGTCTGCTGAAGTTGCTTGCATGGACCCTGTTGAGCTGGTTGCTCCCTGTTTGGAGGTAACTAGTGCTGCTCACTCTGTGGAAGTAGCACGTATGGGTCCTGTGCGAGCTGATGAAAACGTGGAACCTATTGCTGCATCTGAACCGGAATCTGAGGCTCAGATTCCTTAGATCCCCTCTGCTTTACTTGAACAATTAGAGGCTCATGATCCCCCACAAGCAACCACTCATTCTACTATTTCTTTGGATACTCCACCATCGTCGGATCCAGCTTCTTTGGCTGCCAAGGCGTTAGAATCTGAATGGAAAATTCAAAAGTATAGTAGGAAAAGAGGCAGAAGAAAATCTAAACTTCCAATTATGACACAGACAAACAATATTGATGTAACATATCATTTGGAGGGCGAGTGCTTGCACCTTCCCCCTAGGCTTGCTATCACGAGCCAAAGATGTTTAACATTCTGGTGTGGAACATTAGAGCAGTGGCGGACCCTCACTCCTTTAATCGTTTAAAACATTTATGTAGGGTCCATAAACCTGTCATTTTTGTTCTTTTGGAGCCTCTTGTTACCGTTCATAAAGAGGACATCAAACCTGCTTTATCAACCGTTTTTGTGATCATATTGAGGATGTTGGCCTTTATGATTTAGGCTTTTCAGGTTCTCCTTACACTTGGCAGCGAGGATTTCTTATGCAGAGACTGGATAGATTTCTGGGAAACTCTTCTTTTCTGGATTACTACAACATTATTTATGTCAAACATCTTAATCATGCTACATCAGACCATAATCCCATTTTGCTTAGCTTGGCTTTTCATTCTAAACATGCTCGTTATTATTTTAAATTTCTTAATGTCTGGGTTTCTCATCTTACTTTTATTGACTTGATAAAGCAGGCTTGGGTCTCGAGATGGAGTGATAACCCTTGGTTCATTTTGTGGCAATTACAGCAATTACATAAGAGCAATTACATAAGAATGTTGCTTCACTTAAAGAGGTGGAACATTGACACTCTTGATCTTGTGACAAAGTTAGCTAATGCTCATCATACTCTTTTGGAGGAAATCACTATTGAGGAGGATTTTCTTAGACAGAAAGCTTGTGACAATCATTTAAAAAACGATGACAAAAACACCAAATATTTTTATACTACTATAAAAAATCGTCGTAATATAAATACCATTATTAAAATTGTTACTGATGAAGGCTCTGTACTCACTGATGCTGATCAAATTGGTTCCAATGCAGCTGACTATTTTTCTTCTCTGTATGCTGATACTCTACCTGTCACTGATATTTTTTCGGATTAGTTTGAGGATTAAAGGGACTTTCCTCCCTCTCTCTGTCCGACCCCCATACTGAGTTGGAGATTTTCACTGTCCTTAAAGATATTAGTTCTCAGAAAGCTCCTGGCCCTGATGGATTCACTTCTGCTTTTTATATTTCTTGCTGGAACATCATAAAGAAAGACGTGATTCTTGCAATTCAAAGTTTTTTTCAGGGTGAAGATCCTGAAAAGTATTTCTCTGCTGCTTTAATTGTTCTTATCCCTAAATCTAATGATAAATCTCATTGGAAGGACTTTCGGCCCATCTCACTCACATCCGTGATTTCTAAAGTTATCAGTAAACTGATTGTGACTTGTCTTCAACCTCACATTCCTTCACTCATCTCCCCTCAAGATTCGACCTTCATTAAAAGACGTGATATTTCTGACAATATTTTCTTGACCCAAGAAATTTTACAGGATCTTGATAAAAAATGCAGGAGTGACAATCTTGTTATCAAATTAGATATCAAGAAAGCCTTTGATACCATAAATTGAGATTTCATTATCAACGTTTTGAAAGCTAGAGGTTTCAATACTAGTTTTTGCACCTTGATTAAAAGATGGTTGGCTAACAACTATTATTCTAGAGATGAGCCAAATCAGATCTAAAATGAAGAAGTTTTCCTCGACCGTCCGTGACATTAAACAAGGGGACCATTTTTCCCCTATTATTTTCATTTTAGCTTTCGATTATTTATCCAGGTACTCAATCATTTCCAACTATTACACTCTCACACACAGTTTTCTCATAAGGCCAAAATGATGGTTTCACACATTGCTTATGCTGATAACGTGATTATTTTTGATAATGCATCTAAACTTGCCATAAAACAATTGATGGGGCTCTTAAAGGATTTCCAGAATTGTTCTGGACTCCTATTTAATTGTGACAAGTGCCAGATGTTTTTTGACAAGCATGTTAAGCAACATCTTATTCATTGAGGAGTTGCATATATTGACTTTCATCATGCCTCTCTCCCTCTCAAATATCTTGGGGTTAATTTGATTAGGGGAATTAGGGGAAGGAGGAAACAAATGGGAAGGAAGAAACAAATTCATATGGATGATATTATTGATAAAATCAAACGCAAAATTAACGATTGGAGAAATGTTTTTCTTTCTATCGGGGGCAGAATTTCTTTGCTCTCTAGTGATTTTCAGAGTATTCCACTATATGCTTTGCAGGTGTTTAACTCAAAAAAGAGTGCTATCAACATTATGGAGAGATTTTTTAATAAATTACTTTGGGTGGGGAATGATGCAAAAAAAATTTGGGAATCTTGGCATAAGGTTTGTAAGCCTAAGAAGGCTGGCGGGTTTGGTTTTAAAGCTTTGAAACATACTGTGGAAATAAACCTTTGCAAACTTTTGTTTAAAGTTTAAATTCAGATTTGACTCATCTCTATGGGCTTCATTTATGCATAAAAAATATTGTGCTCAAACTCATCCTTCCCAGGTTGAGTGGAAGGTTGGTGATTACCAAATTTGGAAAGCTGTCGTAAATGCTAGAACTACTGCTAATGATTTCATGTTTTGGGACATAGGTGATGGTAATATCTCTTTCTGGAATGATAATTGGGGATTGTCACATATCTCTGAACACTCTCACCCACTTCATACTACTTCCTTATTGGTTTCTGATTTCCTTACTCAAGATAGCTGAGATTTTTTCAAATTGTGCTCTATTGTGGGGGAGCAAAATGCAAAACAAATTGTCACTATTCCTATCACTTCTTCACGAAAGGATCTCCCCATGTGGAAAAGGAACAACTCATCGGTTTGCAAGCTTATTTATAGCACTTTACACTCTCACCGTGATTGGTTCTGGGGAAAATAGATTTGGCTTAAATTTTTATCTCCCTCTATATCATTTTTCCTTTTGCGCTATCTTACTTCTTTAATATCTATTGATGACATTCTTAAGTTGAAAGACCTTAAAATGACCTCCAGATGTCATATGTGCAAGGTTGAGGAGGAAGATACGAGACACATATTCTTTGAATGTGCTTACTCTTTAAATGTTTGGAATATGCTTGACTCACATTTCAGTATTTCTTAGTTACATAGGGGCACTTTAAGCAATTATTTGTGGCAATGGAAGGATTTTGATGTTAAAAGATTGGGGTTTCCCCTCTAAAAGATGATCCTCTGGTTTTTATGGACCTCCAGAAACAGTTTTAAATACCATACTTCTCCCCCCACTGCTTCTATGACTGTTGCTTATGTCCCTTCTCCCCTACCATACTTCTCCCCCCACTGCTTCTATGACTGTTGCTTATGTCCTTGCATATTACAATAATGTTCTAAGGGCCGGTTCTATTGATGTTCCTAATTTAAGGCTCCCCCCGGCTCATTCGGTGGGCTCCCCCTTCACCGGGCTTTGTTAAAATTAATATGGATGGCTGTTGGCTTCCTGATTATGCTGCGGTTGGGGGCACGTTTAGAGATTTTGAGGGTAGGTGTCTCTGTTATTTCACATCTCCTGTTGTCGCTGACAACCCATTGGCCACGGAATGCTGGGGGTTTTTCTGGCTTTAATTGTGGCTACTGTTTTGAATTTTCATAAAATTGAGGTGAAAACTGATTCTAAATTGCTCTATGATACTCTTTTGGGTATCTCTTCTCCCCTCTGGGATATATTTTGCACTTTTAAACGTATTTTAACTTTTATGGCTGAAAGACATCTTGAGGTAAATTGAAAATTTATTCATAGAGAGGGCAATTCCCCTGCTGATTGGTTAGCCAAGCATGCAGGGGAGGTCTGTCGCATTGGTATTTACCCCCTTTCTCCTCTCAGGCGCCTCCTCATTGGGGATAAATTGAATCTGTCTTATGTCCGTATTTAAGCCTCTATCCTCTTGCGAGATTTTATTATGCTCGACAGGTTTCCATGTTTTTGCAGCAGGCCGGTTTCTGTCTCCCTGCTTTTTGTTCCTTATTCCTGTTTCTGTTTTGTTCTCAAGTCTTCAGCTAGTTACCGCTGTTTTGGTCCTCTCTGCTCTACACTCCTGTATTTCAAATGTTTTTTGGTTGCTCGTGAGAATGCTTTTGGAGAACTCTACTAACCTGAAGACAAGTTTTGTACATCTTTTTTCTATTTTTTACATTTCAAGTTACACGACAACACAAGTTTACTTATTTTTGGTTTTTTGTTCTTTGGTTTTCGGTATACTTGTATTTTTGGAGTTTCCTTTTTGTGTGCGTTGTACTGTGGGGAGAGGAACCCCTAGGGGTGAGGCAAATGTATTTTTTTTGGTTTTCATAGACGGGGATCCTCCCCCCCCTCCTATTTCTGTACTTTTTCTTTTAATTAACGCATATGGAGCCACCGTTGTTCTTTCCCACAAAAAAAAAAAAAAAAAAAAAAAAAAAAAAAATTATATATATATATATATATATATAAGACATAGTTTAAATATGACATTTGTTGAAAGAAGGGCATAATATGAGAGAGAAAAAAGAGGGAAATTTAGTAAGTTGAAATGAAGTGAGGGAAATATTTCTAGCTTGTTCAGATTTTTTGGCTAGTGATAACAATTTTGGAGGAAAACATCTGTGCAAATAGGTTTGAGTTAATTGTATGTGAATGCATGGACATTCCTTTAATTTTCAATTGTGTCTAGTGTTTACAATTAACAAATTCAACTTGTCCCTTTCAAACATCGAGCTTGATAACCGCAAGTTTTCAAAATTTTGATTTTACATCTTGCAAGAGTTTTTTACTTAAATTTGTTGATTTATCCAATATTCATGTGCATCTCATTTTACTATGAGTTTTATTTATTCACTTGATTCTTTGGCAGATCGAATCACGTAATAATAAGTTGGAGATGCAATCTTTAAACGACCAAACACTTGTTGAGGAGCTTGATAAACTTCTTGAAAGATTGCGCATTCCTTCTGAGGTATTGTGGATTGTAATTTACTCAAAATATTATATACGAATGTTATTTGAATTGACTCAGAGTCTGACTTTATTTGCTTATTCCTTGTTGTGTATTCACAGTTTGCAGGGGCTTTAACTGTTGGTTCATTTGATGAGGCCCGTATGCTCAAAAATGTTGAAGCATGTGAATGGTTAGCTGGGACAATATCCAGCCTTGAAGTGCCAAACTTGGATCCATGCTACTCAAACATGAGGGCTGTAAGTACTTTCTCATTTGCTAAAGCTGCCTCCTAACTACTTTTGCATGTGCACGACAATAACAACAACAAGCCTTTATCCCACAAAGTGGGGTAGACTACATCAAACATTTTTCTTCATTGTATTCTATTGAGTGTCATATTTTCTTTTAGTTTTAATAAATTAAGATAGCTTTTATATAACATGCCCAAGTCATTTTAGGTCTACCTCTACCTTTCTTAACATAAGTTCAATCTAAAACATCTACTTTACTAACTGAGTCATAAGATGGTAGACATTTAATATGACCAAACAGTTTAAAGCGACCCCCTCAGTGATCTTTTCTGCCACGAGAGCTACTCTAACCCTTTCATTAATATATTCATTTCGAATTTTTCTCCAAGCATAGAGCCACTCATCTAACCGAGCATTCTCATCTCAGTAACAACAACAACAACAACAACAACAACAATTTTTTATCCAACTAAGCAGGGTCGGCTACATGAATTATTTTTCTCCATTGTGTCCAATTGAGTGTCATATTTTCTTTTAATTCTAATAAGTTAAGATATTTTTTTATACAATATGCTCTAGTCTTTTTAGGTCGACCTCTACCTTTCTTAATATAGGTCGTATTTAAAACATCTTTTCTCCTAACCAGATTATCAGATTGTCGACATTTAATGTGATAAAACCATCTAAGAAGACTTCTCTAATTTTGTCTGCCACTGGAGCTTGTCGGCCCTCAAATTAGGAAAAATATATATTTGATTTAATATAATATATATATATAGTTTTGAAATGTAATTGTTTATTTTTTGAAAATATGAAACCGAACTGATCCCATATAGACGATAGTTTAAATAAACGAGCACAACACTACAAGTGACATGCCTATCTCGAGAAATAGACATATCACTTATCTGTGAGACTCGATTAAATAAACTAAAGAAATTATGACATCCATTTTAGTTATTTTAGTTTGTGAACCTTTATGTCCTTTATGTTGACCGATAAGTTCCTCTACATAATATTAAGAATTAGATAGAGTTTATTGTACATGAGTTCTTAAAACTTCCTATAGAGGAAAACACTTATAGTTAATTACCTGTCAAATGACTGAAGTTACTTAAGAGAACTCTCGATGATGATCAGATGTATCTATCTTCATGAATTCAAAGTTTAGGGTTCTCAAGGTTGAACATAGAAAAATCAAGTGGAGAAAGGGACCAAATGAGAACATTTATTTCTGGAATCAAAGAAAAGAAAAATAGGGCGGTCATAGATCATGAGGAGAACCTCGGCGACTTCCAAAACTATTCTATTGTTTGACTTAAATTTTGAGAAGTTATTCAATGTTTCATCCTACCAATTTTATTGTTTAAGACTTATATTTGCGTGACACGATCATACAAATGACCTGAAAGATATAAGAGATTACATCGTATCGGAAGATAACCTCGGAATCTAAAGCAAATTAGGGCTTAAATTGCACAACCTGGCTGTGTAAGGGTCTAAAAGATAAAGTGAGGATTTATGTCGCGGTAGACATACTACCTCAAAGTCTTATGATTTGTTATTTAAACTAGGGAAATATATGCTATTGTAGATCGTCATCCTCCAGCTGCTGCTTCTCCATCGTGCTGCCCACGAAGACTTGTTCCAAGCTCCAAACTGTAGCGACTGCAAGTTTAGTTTATGTTTAAATGTAAATGCAATTGTTGGGTCAGTGATCTGCTGTTTTGTACCTCCTATAAAACCATACCACTGTCCTCCTATTCTAAAAGGTATAATACATAAATGGAACAGGATGTACAATAAAGGAAAGCAGTAAAAAGTGCAGTAGGGAAAGCAGTCGTAAAGAAAATGCAGTAAATGTACAGTAAAAGAAAGCAGTAGAATGTACATGAAAGAAAAAAAAATGTCATAAATGTAAACAAACCTGTATATACCTGAAGGGTCTGCTGCTTCTGTAAATGGGATCGGTGTTGCAGGTACAAGTGAACGAGTATAGTGAAAGGATTTAAGAAATGTGTAAGCATGCATTCGTAGGTAAGAATGAATAGCAAGAGAAACATTGCATGAAAAACTCGAGAAAAGCGGCAATTGACCCACTGTTACTCGAAGAAAATCACCAAAAACATGAGAAAAATCCCGAGAAAATCACAAGTGCTATGTAAAGATTCCAATAAAACCATAGGAAACACATGGAAAATTTGAGGAAAGGAAGAAAACCGTAGGAAATGCACGAAACACTGAAGAAAATCGTAAGCACTCGGGGCGGGGTGGACTCAGAATCAGGACCTTGAGACAAAGTCAAGTCCCTGGGGCCCTAACAAAATAATCAACACCATGTATGTGTGATCCAACACTAAGTAAAAAGTCGCAATGTATGTCAAAACATCATGTATGTCAACACCATGTATGTTAAAACATCGAACCATAGATATCAACTATGTATTGAAAATGTAAACACATAAGAATTGCATTATATGTATGTAGAACTCCCCAAAATATACTAGATATGTAAACACATAAGAATTGCATGGTGTGTATGTAGATCTCACAATCGCAGCCGAGAAAGCACCCAAAGACAGGCCAAACCGCAACCCAAACCTCACCAAAACAGGGAAACCGCCAGCTCAAACCAGCCCAAAAACAAGCCAAAATCAACAACATACATATCACCAAGATAGGACAAAACTGCAGCCCGGATTTTGCCAAAACAGGGCAGAAAACTCAGTCCAAATCAGCCCAAAATATCGCCAAAAGACGCATTCAAAAGCCCCTAAAACTACAACCATTTCAGCCCACAAAAAAAAAAAATTTTTTTGAAAGGTTCTAAAGAGCTTGTCAAAATCAGCCCACAAAAGGTGCATTTTAAAAGCTCCCAAACCACAACCAATTAAGCTCAAAAGATGTGTTTTTAAAAGCCCCGAAGTGCAGCAAATTCATCTCAACATATGCAATTTTAGAAAGCCCAAAACCATGTATATATGCGGCCCAAAATAGTTTTCAGAACCTTTCCAAACAGAAATTACATAAGGCCCAAAAACTTTGAGCACGTGTAGCCCAAAAGAATGCTCAAAGCCTTTCCAAAACAGCTCTTAATTCAACCGAAAAAATAATATTTAAACCCGTCCAAAACAGTGAATAAACAACTTTAAAACGATGCTTAAATCTGCCCCAAAATTATGCATATATCCCCTCCAAGTCAACAAAAATTCAGCATAAATACATACATAAACTCCAACAAATTTAACATCGATGTTTTTAGTCAATCGAATGTAGCATAAATGTCTCCAAACCAATCAAACGTAATATTTACGTGTTTCCAATAAGTCTTGCTCTATTTTTTCAAGAGAAGAACAAGAAAAGAATAGCACCCTAAGAACACCAAGTCACTCAAGAGGAAACAACCAGGGAATTCAGAAAAGAAAATGACAGCACTTCCCCCATTCCTTTGAATTTTCGGCCAACCCTAAAGAACAGATTTACCATCACTTACTTGGGAGGTGAGCCGAGACCGACAGTGACGAGGCAAGTGGCGACAAGGGTAGGTAGTGCGCGTGGTGACAAAGAAAGGCTTTTAGGCAGAGCAGCATGGAGTAGGTGGAAGCTTTTTGCAGGGCACGGGGAAGGCGGGACCTCAAGCCGATCCTTCGCGAGGAAGAGGTGGGCCGTCGATCGGGTTTCGCGAACGGGAAGGGGGACGATCTGCTCGGCTGGTCTCGCGAGCGGGAAAGAGAGAAGGTTAGAGGCGAGAGGCGTGAGCGAGGGTTAGGGATTTAGGAATTTTAAAATAAGGATTTTTTCTTTTTTTTTAATTTAAAACTTGTCAAAATTTGTGTAATTTATTCGTGCGCGGCGCCTTAGCAAAATGAGTGTCCTTCCTAACTAAAAACGATGTTCCAGACGCGTTGATGTGACCCGTTTTGTCATCCGGGGTTGTTCGGACAACTTCGCCGATGGTCGGTTCAAAAGAATGTGTCAAATTTGGTTTTTGTCAGAATTTCGAGTCCGAGATTGATCGTTTCAAAAATTTTATTCAAGTTTTCAACGAATAACGGCTCAAGCGATGCGAATTATGGAAAATGAATGTGTCGACTGTCTGAATTATGCAGAGATTATGAAAATTTTGCTGAGTTTTGCAAATGCAGAGATTTTGAAGATTTTGGTGAGATTTGCAAATGCAGAGATTTTGAAAATTTTTTTTGAGTGCGGAGAATGTTCGCAGAAATTTATGCAGTGCTGAGTTTTATTGAAATGTCTATGCAGAGATTTATAAAAAAATTATGAGATGCAGAGTTTTGTTTCAATGTTGACTCTTATTTTGTTTGATGTTTGATGCTGAGTTTTATTTGAGTTTTATTTCGTTGCATTTGTTTTAGGAATTGGACTCAGTTTTAGACAAGCGTGACATCTGAGCTTCTAAGAACAAGTCTTTGTCTCTGAAATATCCCAAGACACAGTACTTCTTGAAGTATCGTCCACTGACTAAAGGCATGTGTTAGAGAATACTCACTCTTTAGTGCTATTAGAATTATATTCTTTCAAGTATCTATAAAGATGTGTTTTCTCAAAGAATACCACGGCTGAAGAGGCCGCAACTTCGTAGCTTCGTTTGTAGTAGTTGTCGTTTGTTTTGATATTGATTCTGTAAAGGTTGTTTAAGTTGTCTTTGAAGAGTCGCTATGACGTTGGAGTTGTATTTGCTGGGCACCAAAGGATATGACTTCAGAATTGAATTTCCATTAATTGCTAATATCATCATCATTTCTTTAATTCTTTCTTGGACCTAAGCAGATTTCAAAATTTCTGCTCGTGATTAAAACATTTTTCAGTTCCTAAGGATATTTCTGAGTTAATTAATAGCCGACCAAAGGACCCTCGATCATTGAACTTTTTCTTGAATATAATATCAGAAAAATTTTCTTAAGTGAGTTTTCAAGTTTTATTAATCAGAGGAGAATTCAAACACCAATTTTTGTTTATACGTCCACCTAAAGCTTCTCCTTAGG